TGAACAACACCAGCCACCGTCGCAATAGGATCGAAGAACGACTCCGTGTAATATCTAAAAGTGTTGATGTGGAACAAGCACATAATCCATTACTATCAAGAGTTAAAAGAGTATGATATTAGATAAATTTATCACATTAAAAATGATTATTTACACGCAATCACAAGATCATAATGATCATAAATGCTTAACAGTTCGTAGCTAGCTACTCAAGCAATTACACTCTGAAGGGTTGAGCGACCTAATTAGATTTAATGATTTATTATCGGCATGATTAATTTTGCGCTCAAATTTTCAAGTGAATCATTACTTTCATGGGAACTAACGCTTTATGATAATGAAAGAACCTCAGACCGAAAGTTAGCCGCCGCAAAGAGACACATATACCTTTTGTGCTTCCGGAAGCTAGGTCGGAGTTTGTGTTGAATAAATCAACCGTGCCGACTGGATAACCGATGCCTGGGATGTTAAAGCCTAATGCATCCGATTTGCTGAGTCAATGTTGTGGATCGAGTCCGCTGGGCGTTTGAGCAACCGGACGGTGCCGCGATATCTCCCGAGTACACCTGAAGTCTTCCACAATATTTCTTCGCTGGCCACCAGTGTAGATCTGCCTCACAGGATTACCCAGATGTTTTCTGTAGAATTAAGATCCAAACTGCATGCGGGCCAATCCATAACATTGATTCCGTTGAGGTAGAACTGTTTAGCGGATCAGCTGCAGTGTATAGGGTGTTGTCGAGTACGAAGATGAAATGTTCGTTTAGTTTAGTTCCTTCGGCTGAAGACTAGTGGATCTTTTCTAAAACCCCTGCATCAGCTATGCTATCCTCCGGTACGTCTTATTGTTATCGGGAAAATTAAGGAACTCAATGAGCCTTGATTGGTCATTATAATGAAAGTGCCTTCCGTCCTGTAGCACCACCCTTTGAATCTCACTTTGCTCTCCTGTCCTTCCAGCTTACTCGAGTCGAGTTGTTCCATGAAGCTCACTCTATCAAGAGCCTTCATAGTTTTTTGCCCAATCCTTAGAATTGAGTTGGCAGTTTCCTAGGGATGAATCTTGACGCAGAAAACGGAATTACGACAAATCTGGTTGACTGGGGCGTTAGAACTGCGAAGTGCTCGAAGGATATTATGTAGGTTTCCGAATGCACTTGTGGTCACCAAGGATGTGTTATTCCCATAACAGCCAAATTTCCCACAAATTTAACACTTTGGAGACCGCGCGTGTTTCACGTTCCGCAGTCGCGCGGGACTTCGGTGAAATTTCTAGAGATCTCATCTAGTAAATTCAAGAGAAGAACCCACTTTATAATGCCGAAGAAACCTTATTGGACAAACTGGAAAAGAAAATGGATGAAAAACCCAATAATTGTTTACGAAATGCGAGCTGAAAGGTCCTATGCGGTCGGAGGACTGCAGCCCACATATGGGCTGCGTGGGCTCCAAGGTGTTAACACAGTCAGGAGATTGGCCACGTTGAGCACCTGTGAGGCAGTTGGCCAATACATGAGTTGTTCCTAGGTAAAAATCTCAAATCACTGGCCCAAATCCAGGCACACTGAAAGGTAATGTAATCGTTCTAAGCATCCAAAGCTCTCGAAACAGGGACCATTCCCTAATTTACTTATAAAAATGTTTGTAATTCATATAGCGCTCTGTAATCGGGTGAATTACAGTTCCAGCGCATGCTGCTAAAACGAAATAGGTGGCGAGCCATAAATCTCCATATTAACTCGACACAGCTACATTCAGAGGTGGCTTTGGGCTCTTGCTGGCACTGAGCCGTGAAGTATTCCAAAATGATTCGAAAATATTTCAAAGCTTTGAAGCTGTGGAAGAAGCCCTATAAGTTGTTTGGTCCAAACTCCATCTGAATTCTCGCTTCGCATCGACCCATTATCAAGAGAGTGCCCAAGAACGGTCTCTGAAGTTGAGACTTCACAATACGACTCGATATTCCCCCTTCTCTTCGAAACATCTCCGCTATTCTCGGTGTTCAAGCACACATCTATAGGATTGTGACTGTGACAATCACTTACAAGAGGATCAACTACAACAGCAGTGATGAGTCACATCTTCTGATCTCAGTATTTGCCGTTAATCATTATCACAGAAGGTCTTCGGAAGCAACCCTGATCTGACCAGTTACGACTCTATCTATACTGGTTTTTATTGGAGCAATCATGGGCCGGGTGCAGCAAGCCCCAACGAGGGGATGGGGACCCATTCCCTCACCCAACTAGGGGATGAATCCCCTCACCCAACGAGGGGATATATCCCCGGTTTCGTCATAGGACCCATCGAAAAATGATGGGTCCTGCGACGAAATCGGGGACATATCCCTAACCTTGGGGATATACCCCTCGTAGGGTGAGGGGGTGGGTCTCCATGCCCTCGTTGGGGCTTGCTGCTCTCGGCCCCAGAATGGAATCGACTGATAAAATGCAAAAAGTTTCTGCGCGAGTTCGAGGTGCGCCTCTCTCTCACGACTTGGAAATGAAAAGAAATTTGCCGCATCAAACTTCTTCGCGATCGTCAAAATCAAGGGCGGTTATTGTCAAAAATGAGAGCAAGGCTCTGATATAACGCTTGGTTTACGATAGACTGAAAGTGTGATAGTTTGAAACGGAGTAACATCCAAAAGTGAAGTTCCATTGGTGGTCATCGTCAGAAAATCTTAAAACTAACTCGAAGGTCTTGTAGAAGACGATGTTTAGGTACGGTATGTTTTTCTAGCCTTATGAGCATTACGCTCAATGATCGTCCGCTCTCCAATAAAACTGGGCTCCCCAATACGCTTTCAAATCGACGTAAGCCATTCTTGACGCGCACTTGCTCGGCCATTGGGGCAAGGAATTGTTGCCTTCTTCCCCCAAGCCTTCAACCCAATGGTCTTTTCTATAGGTTAGGGCTTCAGAAGACGAGACAACATGACCTTTAGCTATCTGCGGCGCACTGCTGATTTTGTAGCTGACGTCAGAAGGCCTCCGTCCAGGCGGAATCGTTAAACCCAGAGCACCTTTTGCCCAAAATGATCGCATAACTCAACTAATCTTTTCGTAAAGTTGGCTTGTTAACCGGCTCCCCTACTTAACGCTCACAAACAAGACGTCCTACTCTTTTCAGCCACCCTGTAGTTGCAATATTATTATTAGCACACCAGGCCAAGCTTCGCAGAAAAAACATGCGAAGGTGATCTGACATATTATAGTGCGGGCGCCTGTAGCGCACCAGACATCTGGGGGCCAAACAGATGCGATGATGGCTCAAATTCAAACTCCTAAGATCAACAAAGAGAATTTTATGGGTATAATGCGCGGAGATTTAGGCCCGTATGTATGTTCAGCATAATCAAGAGGAGCTATCTCAAACAGACAAAAACTCAACTTTGGTTGAGAATCGACAAAATGACCAGACTGCTAGTGACACTGGACAAAAAAAAAGAAATTCAAAAAACACCTAAATGGACCTGATCACGTCGTTCGTCGAAATTCGAGCAGCACTAGCACTACACTATATGGGGAGACGATTGAGCTATGATGGAAAAGATTGTTTTGATTAGGTAATTAGGAAATTAGGGAATTAAGAGATCACTAGATTTGGCCTATCGTCAGTAGCTTATAAAACAAACGATTCGAGTATCTCAAAACTTCTGAAGAAGACGAAAATGCATAATCGACGAGCATTCAACAAATATGCAGAGAAAGGTGCATGATTCGACAAATGTATTCATTCAAAAACGGGAATGATATGCTATGCGTTCATCAACCACCCTGACAGTATCAATGCATTAGGCACTCCGCTACAACCGACGAGAGGCTCAGAAAAGTATTAGAACTAGACGATTCACGGCTCCAGATACCTACAGCACCCACGGGGATGGTACGAAACATAAAATATTAAATTTCATGGGCTCAACTCTGTGAGGCGATCTTTACGAATGCAAAAGTAGAAACAGGGCTCATTCAAAGTTTGACTTGAATGGAACCAAGCTAATTAGCTGCAGGTTCCAATTTTTTCCAATCACTTTTTTCGCAATTAGGAAATTGGGAAAGTGACAGAGCGGGTTGCAAATCCCGTGGGAAATTAAAAAGAGCACTCAAGTGCATGGGGTCCTTGGAATCGTAAAGAAAAACTCGATGCCAAGGATAGTGCAATAATAAGAACAATTTTTCACTACGCTGGTGAAAAACCACTGTAATACCTTGTTATGATCCGAAGTGTTTACGATACAAAGTGGTAGGAAAAGACATCTAATTTTACCAATACAAAAATAACAAACGAAAAGTTTTCTCCAGCCAGAACGTCTCGTTTTTTTCACCTAATCATTTTGCAGTCTATTTTGAAATAGAAAACGTGTTGCATTACCGCATTTCTTGAGACAGCTGACCCTCTCATGGGAAACTAGGCAGTCAATAATAGATCACAGCATTCCTAACGATCTTTTACAGATTACTTTGTTATTAAGGGCTACGCAGATCTTATCAGAAAGTAATTCTTAGCATGGCAAATACGGGACTGCACTCATGAGAATTTCTGCAGGTTAGTTGAGAACAAAAGGTAATGTTCCCTGCAAAGCTTATTTTGGATAGAAAAACAAAATAACAAATCTCAGAGAAGTCTCAAAAAATTGGTAATCTTGACCAAGCTTGAACTATGATCAAGATCGCAATAGCTTTCCAATAAATATTCTCATTTACCTGTAGATCCAGTTCAAAATGTAGAGGCCGCGATAGAGCCCTAGGAAGAACAGATAGTGGGCGGTAATGGTTTCAGCGGACCCAGTTGCTTGCAACATAAACAAGACCTGCGCATGTCGCGACGGCTTCCAGGTAGATACTGTAAAATAGTAATGAAATGAAAAACACCAATAAAAGAAGTCAAGTCTACCTTAGACGTACCTGAACGTCCACAGAATCTCCATAGTAGAGAATTCGTGATTAATGAGAAGAGACAATAGTACACAAGGAATGAGAAGTAGTTCAACACGGAAACTATCGCTCTCTTTTTCGTATGTTGGGCGAAACTTGATAAGCATAAGGTAGAGTGTACCGTAAGAGGAAATTATAAAGAACACCTGGAATAACGCTAACTAAAATGCAGTACTGCGACCAAGAAACTTGCAAATAATTCTACCTTCATGACTGTATTGTACGTCGAAATAAACGTCGTAAAAAGATCTAGGTATCTGGCCGTGAACACAATGGCAAAAAGGATCTGTGAACGAGCAGAAATGCCAGAGCAGGAGCGCGTCTTCCACATCTGACAATATAAAAATCAATGAGGGCAACATTTCAACAATCAGCGCCTTTACGACAATTCTGAACTAAAAACACTGAAATTGTGAGGATCACACTACCTTGGCCAACAGGATTAGTATCGCAATAAGATGCGACATATCCGCAGCGAGCCGAAAAATGTTCATGGTTACCCTCGTTTGGAATTGGGCTTTCTAAATTGGTTTTCTCAAATCAAAATACCAACGACAGAAACGGAAGAACACCTTTGAACAAACAAAGAGCGGAACGCTAAAACAAAAGGAAGTAAGGGTGTGTGAACAACAATGTAAAGAACGAAGTCGTAGAGGATGGGAACCACAAATTATTAACAATAAAGAAAGTCGACTTTTACTTTATCAACAGGCACTGTAAGCTGAGAATCCAGACCGTATGTCCAATTACTACTTCACAAAAGCAAGGAACGAAGCACTGCGATGGACTTCACCAACAATAAAAGACACCTCAGCGCACAAACATCAAACTTCAATCAAAATGCCAACGCATACAGCGTAAACGTAGCACTGCGGCCGACTGCCGCCTGGCGTGAGAAACAGGGTCATCGTTTCAGGACCACACCCGTGAATGTGTATTGAAGTCGTTTTTTCAAGATTTGCGCCTCGCTGCAGACTTACAAGGATTAATAGGAGCGAAAAGAAAGCGGGGCACGATAAAAAGGCAAAAAAGACATTATAGCTAGCAAGGAGCAACATAGCAATGCTAAAGTGGAAGCATAACAGTGCAATATGATGCAGCTTCGTAAGTACTAAACAGCGTGCGCAGAAATAACCAGACTTTACAAATTATGATGCACTGATGTGACTCAAAACGGGGTAGAAACACGCAACTTCGTTGAGCCCGTTCATGCCCAGCATCGAACTGGGAAATCAGAACGGTGTGAAGTATGCATTGATAAGGAAGATCAGGGCAGTGGTGAATCAAAGGATTCAAAAAAATAAAGACGTATCGATTCACTCGAGTCGCTCTTCTATTTTTTCGAAGCCTTCGTGGTTCCCCGGTTTGATTTCATTTCTCGCAAAGCTTCTATTAATTTAGCGGGTTCTCTGATTCTCCAGTTAGATCACGCCAATAACAACCCACATTTTGGTAGATTCTGCGAATCGCCGCCTGACTTGGGAACTCGGCGATTCAACGACTTTCCTACTCGACAAGACACGATTGTTTTTCGTCGAATCTCTCAAAACGTGAGCTATGAACCCAGGCGGTGGAAGTAGGAAGGCTAATGGAGTCCTGTGTTTCGCACACTCCTGCTTGAGTGTTCGAAGAAGCAACTGAATATAAGACGCTTTCAGAAATTATTTAGCTCAATACTTTAAAGATGACGATGAGGTCAATGTTCAGATTTATTAGCTGAAGCAACTGACAACTGGTACTAAATAGTGTAATTGCTCGAAAAGAAATCTCGATATGGTCACAAATCAGATGCAAGGAAGATCAGCATCATAAATGAAGACAGACCATAGTGAAAACAACTCTTGGAGGCTTCGGAGATGTGGATGGACAACCTCAACGGTCGGAACGTGGAGACCGTGCTGTCCAAGTTGTAATGTAGAGCGTTATTACAATAAACGGAGGGACGTACGGAGTTCTGTGAACGCTCGCTATCGATCGGTCGATTTCCGGGCGCCACCACTTCATAGGGTCCCGCTAGGGGAATTGCTTTATGCATCACCACTCCAATAAGCTGCCAACCACAATTCTAATAGTAGACGCGCATTGTTCCGTCACGTGCGTCCTAGTTAGGATCGTCTTGCTCATTCACATCTCATTTCTGTCAGTTACCATTGCTTTCGTCTGAAACAAGGCGTTCAGCTTACTGTTGACTTACTGAAAAGTTTGTTTGTCTAGGGTCAGGACCAGTCGGCGAACCGATGCGACCGGTTTATTAAACAAAAAACCTAGAAGGTGGAAAATGCTTAACCAAATCGGTGCAACCCTCCAGAATCCCTTTTGTCTTAGGATAATTAGTTTTTCCTTCTGGGACTAGGATTTATTTGAGGCGATGCAATCAGTTCGTGCTCGTATAGCAACGCGTTAAATATCGTTAGCGCCACGGGACGACGGGACGACATGATCTTTTTCGAACGCCTTGCACGCTGTCTTCTTGCACTTCTCGGTCGAATCGGTTTCCATTCATCGTAAACCTCTCTCTAACATCAAAACTATTTAACATTGGATTTCTGTTATTGAAAATTTGAATCTTGTTCTTCTGTCAATATTCAAGTCGGTGTTGCTTGGCAACGCATTGTGTAAAGTAAAATGATGAACGTGATCGAACGTCCAACGGCTCGTTTATGCCCATCATTGTAAAATTCCTCGTATTTGCTGGTTTCCTTCTTGGCAAGATTTCTATCGTGGTATCTGCTGTATAGTACTGTGGCACCTGTAGTACTAGTTTTGCCATGGCGACTACACTTTAATGAATTGAATAGCTCACTGATTGAAGTGACTTGTTCTAAAACATAACACATTGCGAGCAACTGTGTAAATATGATATGTAATTCGATACTCTGGCAGGCAGGAGGGCGCGAAAAGGCCCCGTTCACAGATCGCAGTTAAAGCGATTTGACGATTTGACGATTTAGCGGTTATGGTGAAAGGAATTTAGGATCTAGAGGATTGTCGACATATCGTATCGGACAATGATTATTGGGCGGCGACAGTTCAATCAATGTGTACCCTAGTCCTTTGAACATAACCGCAATATCGTCAAGCCGCTTTATCGCGTAATCGGCAAAGTTTAGATCGATACTTATGTCTGCCTTACAGCATTATCGCCATTTCCCTTTAACCGCGATGCATGAACGGTGCCAAACAGAACGGAGATGGATTGGCTAGCTTCGCAGAGGCCACGTTCACGTTACTGGAGATTCGACGATTTGAGATCGGTGATTCTCCTAAAAGGAATGTGTAATTGTCAATAAGGAAACGCTCATAGTCCGAAGCAAATCACTCGATGCCCATCTGACACCTCTAGCGGAACCAATGAATCGCCCAACACACAGATCGCCGAACTTCGCAAAGCATGGGTTAAGGGCGTTACCTGAGGCAGCGCTGTGTTCACCTTCTTCATGCAGGGGATGCTTACTTCGATGATGCTGTTCGACACGGGCGGGGAACACCATGCCCAGTGGTTGAACGTCATTTTTTTGCCGCAAAGGGTTGTGTTTGCGCCTGAGTGCAAAGTGCCTTGGAAAGTGTTTGCACTTCCGTTTTATCTTTTTTCTATTTTTTTTTGTGCCATGCATATGAAGAGTCTGATTACCTTCGCTATGTCGGTGCAACTTGGCACAGTGAATTTGCTTATTACCTCACTTAACAATGTGAACGAATTATTTGATGGTATCCTGGAACTGTTTCTTACTCTCCGTCTCTATGCTCTGGATTCTCATTATACTTGGCGTCTGTTGCCTTCTTGTTACTAGATTGGGACGAACCTTACATGCGTTTCAAGACTTGCGGATTTGATCTCAGATAAGATGCTTTAGACTGGGGGGAGGGGAGTTGCACTCCAAGGCCGCGGTCTCTTTTGTGACTGTATTGCCAGCCGAAGTGGAGTAGTGCGATGCGATGTCTGTCCCCGTTTCCTGCAGTGCAGTAGCGGAAACTGGTGGTGCTATCGAACTAAGAGCATCTTTAAAGCAAACATTCAGGAACGGCGTTCGCGGGGATAAACCACCCAGTAATGAAGTATGTACAATGCAAAAACACCCTACGATTAATGTCATGAAAACTGGAAACAAAAACGTCCGTGGGAGGCGTCTTAGACAGGTACTGCTCCGCCTCTGCCGCTCAGCAGCAATGGAGAAAGGACCACGTTTGCGCGAGTTGTCTGACCGTTCCCGCGGTAAACGCGCGTCCCATTTTTCACATCAATTATTCCCTGTGGGTCCCAAAAACGAGCGACGATGCCGACGGCGTCCAATGACGGCCGTCCAGGGGCGCGGGATGCGGGGAAATCCCCAGAACACGCCATGTTGAGGACTTTTCCACCCTGTTTTTGAGAGTTTCTGAGGGTAAGTTCGTTAGGTTATTTCCACTGCAATGTTCTTCCACTAGGCCGTGGTATCCCTCAGTAGTAGTTGGCAATGAATTTTCGCCTCCGGAACTTGCTTGCTTTAAAAGCACACGTGATGTCATGTTTCCATCGAGAATCTAAATGTGCCACGTCGTGCACCTCATTGCGGAAAACGCGGAAAGCAAGGTTCTCTACTCCGCGATATGTCGCAAAGTCGTAGGATCGGAAGACGGCCAACTATGACCGAGTCCTAAAGGTTATGGTTCAATGACAAAATGGAACGCCTTTATGCATAAAGAAGGATCAAGTTAAGGATCCGCCGCTGGACGGGTGCTGTAGGGTACATCCATGGCCGTGTCCTGTCCTCCCACGGGAATGCGTCCGCCACCGCTGATCCTGTCCTACGGCTGGGGGGACAGGGTTGCGTCATAGGACCACCATACTCTGCGTGTAGCTACAACATCACGCCTTCACTAACGGGTCCTATGACACTACCATGTCTCCTCCAACCGTAGACAGGATCAGCTGCGGGGACGCGTCCCCTTAGAGGAAGGATAGGATACGGGCCCCTTTTCTGCAATGAGCATGTTCGATTTGAGCAATGTGTCACGCTCGGGCATGTCGCTGTAGGACCCGCACCACGTCAGGTCTTGTAGTATGACCCTCCGCACGATCTCTTTGTGTCTGTGTGGTAGCCTAATTACCGAAGTGATTGGGTATTCAAAAGAGGAAACAAATGTCGCTCTGAACGAATGTCGTTTTTAGAAGAAAAGAGACGCATTTGCAACCGAATGGGAAGCCCTCGTGCGAAGAACTCGTCTCGTGGTGTAAGTGCAGCAAGCTTCCACGTCTATTGCCGGTTAACATGGCAAGCATTCATGATGGGAATCGGCTTTTCTATAAAGTAGATTCATTTCCAATAAGGCTAAACAAGCCCTGTGTTTTCTAGTCCATTTTCCATCACTCGTTGTCAGCATGTTCCATTTTATGAATTCAAAATCATGAAAACGACGTTTCCAAAGTATTGCTTTTGAGTTTACATCTCAGAGTCGATATGTTCTAAGGGCCGTGATTAGCTTGACTGTTGAAAGCTTTTGTATCATCCAAACG